AGAGTTACACCGGTCATTTATTGGAGACATTAGTTTTAAATTGCTGCCAAGGCTATCTATAGACAAATTACAGAAAACGTGCTTGTGCTTTGGAAGAGACATTTTGCTCATTTTGATCTCCATTTTAAATGGGAAATAACTCTGCCTCTTTTCTCAGACCACAGTGCAAGGACATTTCCCTTGTAATACAAAATTACCTTAAAAATAAAAGCAATAAAAGACCAACCTGAGTCGGCAGATATTTTTCCCTCTGTAAATGAGAGTACTGGAAAAATAAGTGCTGAAGTACCCTGGTAATGACCCTAGTCTGGAAAATGCTGGTTTTTGAGATTTAATAAAATTGAGAAAACCACTCCAAGTCAATATCTGAGTTGGGCGCCAAGTGCTTGTCTTGTTCCCTGGGAACCTCAGCCCTGCCTGGCAGCACTGACTGACCCCTGAGCTGGCAGGCAGGAGGGAGAGCATTGCAAGAATGAGCAAAGCCACCTCCAAAGAGATTTGGAAAACTCTGTGGAAACTCTGGAAATCAGGTGGCTGATAGACACAAAGGATAATCCTGTCAGAACAGATTAACTTCTGGATCTGCTGGATTCTTCCATCCCATGCTTTGTTTGCAATAAATGGTACCTGGCCATGTCCAGGTAAGTGACAATAAACATGGGACAGCCAAGACCTTCACTGTGCCTCCAGTTCAAAAACCAGTTTTTATTTTAAATCGAAGCTATGTTTTATCCAGTTCACGTTTTTAAAAAGCTTTTCACATGTAAAAAACCTGCAGCTGTTAAGACTCTCCCAAGAACACACAGGCTTCAAGTCTGAGCAAATCAGAATAATTGCAAGAAAAAATGTAGCAAGTGTGCAAGGCTTCAGGCTTTGGGAGAGGGGTATTTTTAGATTTTAGACTGAAGAATGACTCCAGGACATCGAGCTAGACAGTGAGGGCAACAGAAGGGGGAAATGTCAGAGCAAGAGGCTATAGAAAGCTTATGGAGCTGCAAGTGCCCAAATGTGATTCTTTCCAAGCAAATAAATTTGCCGACTGCATCTGTTCATGGGTTTCACTGAAAATGAGAAAATCATCACTCCATATGCAAGATGCAACCCAGTGCATTAAAAAAAGGCACAGAGCAGTCTTTTCAGATAAATTAAAGCAATTAGAAAAAAAATCAATGCTTATGAAACACCATTGAGAGCTTTTGCCTCCTTGGTCTTACCAATATTTCTCTTGGTAAGAAGAAAACTTAAAAATAAAATTTATTATGAGAAAAACATTTGACACAGGGGTAGTGGGTTCCAGAGGAAGAAGAGATCATTTGTTATTTTTAAGGATTATAAACTCCAAATATATCCTCCAAAATATGCTTCAACAAACAAACTGAAGGATTTTAACCTGGACTCTCTCTTTATTTACCTTTTACTTCCTAATCTCTTAACATCTGAAAAACTTTTCCATTAAAAATACACAGTTACACTGTGACAAGGCTGCCTCACCCAGTGGGAAAAAGCACTGGAATGGAGTTAGCAGTTCACAGTCTGCAAACTGGGAAGACTTCCATAGTGAATTTAACTTTTTGTTAGGCTGGTTCTACAAATGCTGTCCTTTCTGTTATTCTTGTGTGTTACATTGAAATTGGCTTCTCAGTTCCTGAATTAAACTCCTTTAACCAAATCCAGCCAGAGTTAATGGTCTGTTAGCACAGAGCAATTTTGAAAGCTATCTTTGAAACATATTATTCAACTGAGACAAGGCTCATTCTACTCTTTTACTGTTCCTCAGTTTTCAAAAGGGAGGATAAAAGGGTTAGGATTTTACTACGTGGGAAACAAATTAGATGGGAGCCCTTTGGGATGCTCTTGGTATGGGTTCTCTATAAGACACAGACCCAGCAGGCAAATCAGCTTTTTGTGGTTATTGCACCTTTTGGTCAAATTTGGCTGCCTGGACGTTAGGAACCACAAAAGCAGACAGTGCTGTGCTGCCAAGAAGGGAGCATTTCAAAACGAAATTACCCAAATCATGTGCTTGCATCTCTTTATGGGTACTTGGAGGGCCCATAAACAGCTCTGCACTGCAGGAGCAAGAGCTCCCTGTGCTCAGCCAGGGTAGAACCAGCAGTGCCATTCCTGTCCAGCCAACACCTGCCACAGCTCAGTAAGAAAAATGATATAAAGTAAATCTATCCCTTTCTATGTCTCTCAGGTGCTGCTTCACTGACTCCTCCAGCTGACAGACACAGGGGCATTAACCCAAGGTACAAACCCTCCCAGCAATGCAGTGGGGAGGTGCTGGGCTCCCCTGGCAGAGCAGGATCTCCTGCACATTTCCTGCCCTCACTCAGCAGCAAAGGGAAAGAAGGGCATGCTCCCCTCTACATCCAAACCACAGGAGCCTGTCAGGGCATGATCCAGCACAGCTCCACTCAGTGCTGCAGTTGTTTGGGCACATTTGATGTCCTGAGTTGCCCAGCAGCACTTGTGAGGGCAGTTCTGATAAACTCCCGGCACACTCATCTCCCCTGAAAGCAGTGGAAGCAATCACTGCCCATCTCACCAGGCAAAACATCTTCAGCTCTGCTCTTACATAATCTTTTGTTGTTTTTACTGAGTTTCCTGCCCAAGAGCAGAATCGTGAAGGAACTGGCAAACATCCTTTTCCATTCTGACAGAGGCACAAGACATTTTAAACGCAACCCACCCCGACTCATCCTCCTGCACAGTGAATCTGACATCTCATACGACTCTGGTGGCTCTCCTGCCCCTCAGGACAAAGGGTCTGCAGGAGCACTATTCCCTTCTGTCCAAGCTAAGTGTATATATTAATCCATCTCCATTCAGGGAAGAGGTTTATAAACCATCTACACCATGCTACTCTACAACTACAGTTACATTTCAGACAGCAAAAGTAATAACCAAGCCTTCAAAAAGCTGTTGCAGCAGCATATCATTTTAGCAGAAGCTTTTGATGTCAGTCAAAAATATTGCTGAATGTCTACTTTCAGGGGAATAGTCCTTGGAAGACAAGAGAGTCTGGCTGTACAGAGGCTCTGAAAAACTCTGCAGCCTGGTATTTGCACACCAGGTAGGGCCAGTGCCAGTGAGGATGGAACTGTGGCTGCTCCAGTGGGACACGGCTCCCAGGGGGACAGGGAGAAAGGGCTCACCTGGCAAGGGCTGCAGAGAAGCTCAGGAACAGAGCAACTCAATTATTTCTTTTTAATTATGCCAATAAATTCCACACATCTGCTGAGGAGGTAGCAGAACTCTGGCAGAAGAGGCACTGCTATTGTTACATGATTCAACTTCTCCTGTAAACAAGCCCTAAAAATAATTTTCTAGATAAATCAGGCTTGCAACATGAAGAAGGGAGGCTTTAGACCAAACCCACTTCAAAGTGTTCCCAAGGCTGTATCCTGCTGCCAAGGCAGGGCACAGCAGCCCTGCCTTCCTTCCACATGCTGCTTTGCAAAACGGCAGTTACTTAAAATTTAGATTAGAATAACTTTGCATCTCTAGGAGGACAGCATTGATGTTGAAATATGACAAGCCAAAAGAGAAAAATGGATGCCTTCAAGAAATTAAAATATTTTCATTGCTTAGACAGCAGCTCTAAAGAGCTGGACAAGCTTCATGCACTGTGGACAATGGGGCAGCTGCAAAGTGCACTCAGAACCTTATGAAAAACACATGGTGTAAATCAGAAGCTACTTTTACTGATGTCTGATCAGTCTTATTCTTGAGCAATTTAAATCTGCCCAGGTGAGTGAGTATTCCCCACAATCCTTGGAGATACATGGACTCCACTATCAAACACAGAGACACTGAAAGAGCAGAACCACACGAAGCAGCCTGGGACTGCTCCTGGGGAGAGCAGCCAACCAGCCAGAGCCTCAAAGCACGGAAGAGCACAGGAGGAGTTTTTGACACTTATTCCTAGTGGCATGTTTCCCCAACAATACCTAGTGCTGTTTGTTCTGTGCCATTCAGCATCAGCTGGCACAGAACTCTCACGCGATGGTGAAGGCAAGGGGTCGAGAGTGCTGAGGTGGATCCATGAACAGGGCAGGCTCTGCTGCTGCTCTCTGCAGACACACCATGGAAACTGCCTCCCTCAGCTCCCTGACAGGAGCAGCAGCCAGGTGAGGGTCAGGCTCTTCTCCCAGGTAATGAGCGAGAGAACAAGAGGGAACGGCCTCAGGCTGGGCCAGGGCAGGCTCAGGGTGGGCACAGCAGGAATTTCCCCATGGAAAGGGGGCTCAGGGATTGGGAGGAGCTGCCCAGGGAGGTTTGGAGTGCCCATCCCAGGAGGTGTCCAGGATAGGACTGAAGGTGGCACTCAGTGCTCTGCACTGGGGACAAGGTGGGGATCAGGCACAGCTTGTATTCGATGGGCTGAGAGGGATTTTCCAACCTCAGTGATCCTGGGATTTCAGTTAAGACACGTTGGTCCCATTTAATCTGGTTTTCCCCCCAGACAGAGCTCTGTTCTGCATCCACCAGCTGGAGAGCCTTTGGGTTTTCCTTACAGAGGGGTGGCAGGGATCAGTTGTGCTGTCATTCCAAGTGTTCTGTTTGCTCTTCACACACACACGGGCAGCTCTTCATTCTGAAAGCCTTCACACAAAAGGCCTGTTTATATTCAGTGGGATTTTACTGGAAATAAAAACCCTCCAGGCTTCAAAGCAATGGGTCCAACTGTCCAGCAGGACAATCGTGCCCTGGTCTCCCTTACTCAAACTGACCACCTCTAAGGAACAAAACCTTTATCATATACTCACATTGTAATATCCACACCTACATGGGTTATTTAACAGTGTCTTTTGATAAGCTTACATTTTCCATTATTTAAATATTAAATTGTGTCTAAATTCATTCAAATAAAATTTTAAAAGGAATTTATTACAGAATTTGCTTTGTGCTTCAACAGAATTGAAAAACCTGTTTTGCCTAGTCTTGCCTTAATTTAACTAGCAACAATTAAATTTTAATTTGTACCATCTTACCTCAATCAATTTGTTGGCATGTTCACGGAAAACCTGGGCATATTCTTTAACTTCTTTTTCATTCCCATTCTTGGCAGCTTCAATCAATACTAAAAGAGGAACATTTGTTTCCAGAAAAGAGTCTGAAACATGGTCCATAACAGCTTTGCGGAGCTAAAATAAAAATAAAAGAATGAGTTATTCTTCAATAGTGTTGCACTGCTGCTTCCCTCTTACTGTATTAATACATATAGCTTAAACTACTTTTGTCATTGATCCTTTTTCCTTTGTGTGACCAAGGCTTTCCCTGTACTAAGTCTTGTCTACACACTTTTTGCTTCAATTTAAATTAAATCTCCTTAAAAAATGGATTAGTTATAGAAGTGCAAGTCACCAGTTTGGCCACAAATATTGATTTAGCAGCTCATATTGGTTTTGTCTGAGTAAATTTGCTGCTTTCCCTCAGCTGATTAAACAACACACTGATTTAACTTTTTTATTTTTCTGCTGGAATAAAAACATTTTTCAACAAACCTGATCCATATTCTCACTTACTCAAAAACAGGAATATATTGCTTTAAAAACAAAGAGAGAAAAGGCTGATGCTACATATATTTCTCAAATAAAATAGGTTGAGATGAACACAATTAGAATTATAAAGTATCACTGATTATCTTCAAAGTCCATCAAGTGAAAGTTGTTTTTTGGGGGGCTTTGGTTGGCTTTTTTAATCTCTCTTGCCACGAGGATGATTAAGACTCCAACATCTGTATCACACAGGTAAAAGGGAATTAACAGAAAATTACATTCGCACCCCATGCTTCCCACAGGAAGCTTCTGGCCTCTAATTCACTGAAGACAGGCCAGCAAACCCACTGCCACTAGAAACAAAACCCCAGCTTGCAGCACTGTACTCATGCTCAGCCAGCACCATCTCTGACCATTCCTTACCTGCCTGCGCAGGTCTCTGGTCTTCTTGGTCATTTTATCAATGGCAGAGTTCAGGGCATCACTTCTTTCCTTGCGGCCAGCCTGAAAAGCAGCAGACAAAGAGGTTAACAAGTACTCATCAGGGTCTCAAAGTTAAACCAGTTGTTACTCATTTCAAGTATATGGTAAGATTCTGTTGCTATTTTTGAGGTTTGTGGAGTGATTCTGCACACAGGCAGTAGTCTCCACCTCCCCGATAAGGCAGTCACTGCTCCCTGCACACCCCACCCCAGGGATCACACCACACTGCTCCTGAGCAGGCAGTCAAAAGCCCAGAATCAAAAGTCAAATCCCTATAAACCATTTGTTGGGTAAGAAATTCAACACTCAGGTGAGTCTCCAGGCCCAGGCATGGGGAGCTGCCAAGCTTTGATCCAGCACGTTTCGCCTGAGCCCCGTTGTTAGAGAGGCCAAAGGGCCAGGCAGCAGGGGCAGCTTCCCTTTGCCATCAGACACTGGGTCAAAAATACCCTCATTCCTGTCAAATTAAGAGTCAGATAAGACAGTGGTGGTGGTCTCGTTTTGCTGGGAGTTTTTTCCCTTTAATATAGCTTACATTAGGGTTTCAAAACACACTTTATTCAACTACAATCCAATTTCTGAAGTCCTAAGCCACAATCAATATAATTATCCAGTTGAGAAGAAAAGCCATTTAGCAGTACTGCAGTGAGTGTATGCCAGGTATCAATTCTCCAGGTGACAGGCTGGTGTGAAATATCTGGATGAACAGCCTTGAATCTAAAACATCAAATCCACTCTACAACAGAAATAAAAAATGGAGGGGAGGGAGTTAGGATGTTGTAATGCCATTATAGTGTAATGAATTATTGAAGATTTGTCACCGCCATGATCAAGTTATTTGATTCTCATCACAAAAGGTAACTGAAAAGTGACTGGAGCTAAACCCAGGAGCTTGTTGTGACACTGCCAAACCTGCAGCAGCTCCGGCACTGGCCCCTTCTTTGCTCAACATTCAAAAATCAAAGCTGAAGGCTCTAAATAAAGTGAAGATTAATGCACTGATTTACCCAACACTTTGCTATTGCCCTGCTCAGGGGATATGACTGACAAGGCTCCCTGAGCAATGGCTCTGCCCCTGGCATGCTGGTGGCAGCAGGCAGGGCTGGCACCTGTGGGGGACAGGGGGACAGTGACCCCAGCAGCTGCCACAGGCACTGTCCCAGCCACAAGCTGCCCTGAGACCCCAACCTGCAGCGGCAGCTGCTTCCCCTCCTGATGTTTCACCCCTGTTTACCCACAGCAACGTGACCATTTCACTGAACCCACAGCACCCTCCCCACACACTGGGATTCTTTCCCAGGAATATGTTTGGATCTAAGATATATGCTCATCTATTATGCAGAAAGCCAAACATTCAGCTGTTCCAAGAAGTGCCATTTTACTTCTCCCCGGGTGCTCCCACATTACCATTTCAACAAGAAGCAGGAGCGGGGATTTGAGGTGATACCACCCATCAATTCCACTTTGCTGTCCCTGGCTTCACAGCCCACAGCAGCCTCGGTGCACAGCACCACATGCCTTTTGGATGAGAGGAAAGCCAAGAGATGGCCTTCACTAATGGACCACTATGCAAAACACCCCAACAAAGCACATTACAGCCTGAGCAGCACTGATTTCTCACTGCTGATCCGTTCCTATGAAACTACACCGTGTTCTAGCACAGAAAGAGCTGTAGAATCCAGCCCCACTAGGTTTTAGGAAAGCAGCTTCAGTTTATTTCCACCTTGCTGGCATGCATAAGTTTTAGCACAGAAGCTTATCAAATGATAAGCATGACCAGAATTTACTTCAGAAGGCTGCAGGATAAAGTACCCTGCTAATTTAGCTCTGGTGATTTAGCACATTGAGTCACTAACTGGGATCCTTTGTCAGGGCTGAGCAGGGGCAGAGCAGGACAGACCCAGGACACCTCAGTGGACACACACACCCTGCTGCCACTGACATCTTAAACCATCACAGCCAACTCCAACCAAGGTCCTGGAGACAACAATGTTGAATTTTGCCCAGCTGAAGTTTCCTGACCATTTTTTCCCCTGCATAATAAACACAGTATTTCCCTGCTTTGTAAACACTGTGGGGCCAACCAAACCCCATTAGGACCTGGTGGAACACATGAAGACCTGCACAGCCCATGGCAGCACAAACCCTCCTGGGCACAGAAACACGCTGAGCTACTGTCACTTTGTCCAGGCTGCCACACATGTTGGGAATTTTACCCATTGGTTCCACCCTACAGTTCAAAAGTCCTCTTTGAGCTGGGCTCCCTCTCTCAAGTAATAAATCATGTTTTAAAGGCTCCAAGTGCCAGTTTAGCTCTTCTGGGTAATTTGTTCCACTAATCAATTAGCCTGACCATTAAAAACTGGTCCTCATGTCTAGTGTGAACCTTCACTGAGGAGCCAGCTAATGACCCAGCAGCACAAGGCAGCCCAGCCAGCAGCTCCTGCTATCCACGGGATTAGGAGGACTCACAAGAGTGAAGCCCAAATATTCAGATTTCTAATAGGATTTTTAGATATTCAGCACAAAACTCTGCTGAGGGAATCACAAACCCTGCAGCCAGTGAGTAGCTAATAGATTCAGTAGATTTAATAGGGTCATGATGACCATTCAATCATTCTGCAGTACGATATCCCAACTCTACCAGTATCATGGATAATAAATTTAGCCACGGTGCAAATTTACTTTAAATTAAATCAGATCTTTATCAAAGAGGATAGAATTGATGTTAAAAATCACTCATTTCCCCCAATCCCTTCATCTCTGCTCTTCCCCCACCATTGCTACCCTGCTTGCAGAGCACCACAAGCATTCCCTGTCACATCCCTGCAGTCCCAGCTCACACCATCATCCCCAGAGGGGACTCTTAATGCTCAAAACAAAGAAAGGGGATTTGTATACAGGGAGGGGAGCAGAATCACCATTTCTGTCACAAAGCCTTCCTGCTGTAGGTGTGCCACCTGAATTTAGACAAGCAAAAGACAAACCCAAGCTTTTCCTATAGCTATGGAGGTTAAAATCTAATCCCAGCTGATTTATAGAGGTACAGGAGCATGGTGGTGGTGGTGCATTCCACCGGGATCAACAGAGCATGTGCTGTAACCAGCTACTCAAATATATGTTTTTGTAGCTAAATATCACAAACATCTGCTGTTAAAGGTTTATCATCAGTTTGGGTTAAGATGAGCCCACAGAGGTGTTGAGGGAGACTGCCTCCTGCTCAGCACCAATTCACACCATCCCTGCAGAGCCCACCATGCCCCCATCCCAAATAAGCACCCACATGTAAGCCAGATGTGCCACTGCTGAGAGCCACCACTGTCCCACCTGCCACCCCTCACACAACCACCAAAAAGGACAGTTGGTAGAGAGGTTTCTGCTTCAGGTGTCTGGGAATTGACTTCTGGGCTGTCAGTACAACAGGCAGCATGCTGATTAATGATTGGGGCTGAATAAGTTACAAGTGAGTGCTTGGCACACCTTCCTGTGGGCAGGCAGTGTGTCACTGTGTGTCACTGTGTGTCACTGTGCCACCTCTGAGCTCTGCTGCCAGGGGACACAGGACATCAGGGCTCGGGTGCATTTTGTCCCATGCTTGGTTTTCCTTGCCACCCAGCCTAATTCTGTGTCTACAGAGGATAACCATGCACTGCCCTCCATCACTGTGACAGCACGGCTGCCAACCAATTCCAGCTAGAACAGGGCTGATTCAAGGCCAGGCAGCGTGAGCACCGAGGCGTGACCCACACGAATTCCAGCAGTGTTTTCACATCCAAGGTCTGCTAGGAGGAAGCAAGACTGTGCCCTGGTTTGCTGCAGGAGGAGTTTCCTACAGCCAGCCCACAGCTCAGCAGAGCAAATGGGCTGCATGGCATCGTCCAGGCTTCAGCAAGAACCTGAGTGACAATAAAGCTGCTGCACTGCCCCCCTGCCCAGCGGGCCATGCCACAGCACTGCCACCCTGACATCCTCCCCATGGCCAGGGAAGGGTGGCTCCTGCACTCACCCTGGTACAAGGAGGAATTACAAGCAGTGCCAGGTGCAGAGAGCTGCCAGACAGGGAGGTGACAGCCACCGTGCTATGCCACCACATGTGCCCTTTGCTCCCATGGAGACAAGGACACCCAACCTCCAGTGCCCATCCCTCCCACTGCCCTGCCCAAAGGACTCTGCAGCTGGCCCGAAGCCCTGGGCACAACTCTGCTGCTGGGTCACCTCCAACATGCCTTTGTCCCAGGTGTCCCCTCCTAGGGCTCCGTGCTTCCACGGCAGCGAATCCGAGTGACAGAAGGTGCACGGTGACACAGCCACATGGCCCTGCTCACCTCCTGCCTCACAGCCCTGGGACACAGCACCAACACAACCTTCTGGCCAAAAGCTGCAAATCCTCCCATGGTCCCCAAGGTGCTAACACCCAGCAGCAATCCCCACGGCCGCTCCTGCAGGCAGAAAGGTGAGCTGGCTGCTGTGCAGTGCCACACACGTGGCTGCCTGTCCTGCTGCTGCAGTCTGGGCTTGCACCCTCCAGGTCCCCAGCACGGCAAAGTCACACAGGCCCCACATCTCCATCCAGAAAAATTAGCTTGTATGTTGTTCTTAATAGACTAGGAAGGCTTCCACAAGATGTCAGCCTAACTAAATGACAACGCTCGCCTCAGGGTGCAATTCTACTTTCCCAGCACATGGGTTTAGCAGGAAAACCAGTTGTGTTGCTGCTCCACGAGCGGGGTAGGTGAGAAGCCCTCAAACGGGTTATCTGGTCCTAGCAAGCTTCTTCCTGCCAATTTCCCTGTCCAGATTACATGTTCAGGCTGCCACAAAGTTCCTGCTGTGGCCAAAGGGTGCAGGTAGCATCAGATATGGTTTTTCATGCTGGGCAATGAGTATTCAGGCTCAGAAGAAATGCATTTGCATGAGTTTTGGGGGTTTTATTCCCAGTCTGTTGCACCCTGACACCCCAGGTAGCTCCCAAGGAATGATGTGAATTTTACTGCAGTGTTCCAGACTTTGGAGACTGAGATGCACACTTGTGGTAATAACTGTTATTTCACAGCAAGTGCACATAAAAACATGTTTTGCTAAGAAAAGCACCCATAAAGTTCATGTTAACAGTTTCCTAAACAGGAAACTCGCTGGCAAGGTGCTAAATAGCCCTTGTTTGGTTAAGGGCCAAAGAACGGAGAGCTTCAGAAAAGGAGCAACTCACCGTATTTGAACATTAACTCTTAACTCTGTGCCAAATTACACAATCTTAACGTGGGAGGAACCTACCAGCAGATATTGATGCAAAAAAGCAAAATGTTTCCAACGATACCTAATGTCAGCCTCCTGGTAAGAGGGAAAGAGGCAGCACTGGGGAGGGCTAACAGTCGACCTTAAACAGCTGTCCTTAAACTATACCCTTTGGAATGCTGTTGGTAAATGTTATGTAATATATTGAAATGTTATTAGAATTCAAATTAAAACCCTGGATCAGGGTGTTGCACAGAGCTGCTCCAAGAAGCCTCCACAGGTGCTGCAGAGCCACGGTTCTGTCGGACAACTGGAGCTGAGCCTGGGCTCTTTGTACCCTGAACATTAAACAGGAAGAATCTCTTTAAACAGGTTTATGTAATTTCTTTGCATGGATTTCTTTCACATTGGAGCAAATGTGAAAACATTTACTATGGCAGAGCAATTTAAGAAATTTATCTAACATTTCCTAATTTGCTTAATAAAGACAGTTACTTTCCTGATGGGTTCAGAGTAGGGTTTATTTGTTTTGCTTTAGCGTTTTTTGAGGTTTTTGAAATTTTTTTCTTGTGCGTTCACATTCTCCATCCCTTTACTTTCCACTCAGTGCTCCCCTTGAGTCTGCCCATCCCAGAAAGGAAGCAGCACAGGCAGTGTCACCATTCCACCACAGTACAGCCAAGGGAGAAGCAGGCAGAGAATAGCAGGTCTTGGTTTAAGCAAGGACCTCCAAGGAACCAAAGCAAGGAATCAACACTTAGTAACAAAGGTAAACAGTCATTTTATTTTAAACCCTTCTTTTGACACAATTCATCTTACTCCATCATCATGCGAAACCTGTTATTCTCAGCTCATTCCAGATCTTGGAGGTTAGAGGTGATACCTTGCTGCTACACAACAAACATTTTCAAGTGCCTCCTCTAAATTATTGCTTTATAGCTCAAGGAGAAAATAAAAAAAAGCTTATCCGAGTTGCCTGGAACGGGAAATCGGCACCCCCCTGCTGCACCCACATCAAACTATGACCAGAGCAGTGGCTCCAAAGGCTTTACCTGCACATGCATCTTAAAAACATATAAAAATGTCAATTGAACTTGGTCATTTACCTTTCAGTACCAGCTGTCCCAGAGGAGAGGTTGCTCTGGAAATGGAGCAATGAACATTTAAAGCAAGGAAACAGCCCTAAGAGCCCCCTGTCCTCCTCCTGGGCTGTGCGTGCACGCTCTGGCCAGAGCCCAGTGGGGCTGGAGAGCACACACACTCTGCAGGGGCACATCTGCAGCCCTAAACCCACAGGGTAACTGTTACAGACCCATCCTGCAGCCAGGGGCTCCTGGAGGTGCTGTCCCCCCTCTCTGAGTGGGACACACAGCAGCAGGACATTGTGGGTGACCACAAGGAAGCCCTTGCACAGCTCTGAGCCCCGACTGGAAATACCAATCTCATCATTTCTGCCCTGCACTCCAGTGCCCAGGAAAAAGCAAGTATAAAACCCACCGTTTGGGAGGAGAAAATAGATTTTCTAGTTTCATAACCACACACTGTCAAGCTGGATTCCAATTAAATTTTTCCTGTGCCTTAACGCAAGCTTTGCTTTTTCCAGAAATTTCTCCTGGCTTGAAGCACTTGCTCCTGTGCCCTGCTCCTGGGCTGTACTTCCTGACACTCCAGCTCCACCACTGCTCTCTGCACTTCTGCAGGGACCACAGTCACACACAGCTGTCACACGGAGCTCTGAGCTGCCCAGTCTCTCTCACCTCCATGCAAGCCGGTGCTGACCAGCATCCTCTATTCAAACTCTGCGCATTTTGCAGCTCAAAGTTCCTTTCATGCAGGGAGATTTAGCAGAAAAGTGGGAGCAGACAGCACTCGGGCACTTCCATCCGCGGCTCTGCGCTGCTGTTAACCCCAGCTGAGCAGAGCCGGCGCAGATGTGGGGGGAGCTGCGAGTCCCTCCTGCGCCGTCTGTCCTGGGGACGAAGGACTCCTGCCGCTGGATTTTCCCCCCTCTATCAGTGGTCTCTAACACGATCACAGCGTGCAGCACAATGCTTTAAAACAGCAAAGCTTCTGGAAAACCCAAACAAAAGGAACGTCACCAGGTGACGTCAGCCTATATAGAGCCCTGTGTGGTCGCAGCGCATAAGCAAATCCATTCTTGTACCGCTTCCCTGAAAAGCTTTTCAGTAAATGCACTCATGCTACTACAGGAGCTTCTCTCAGCAATAAGCCACCCATCTGCCATCAACAAGTTAGGACTAAAGGAAGCCACAGCTGCGGAAAAGGAAAACGTGAGCTTCGATTAACCAGCTGAGCAGCCACAGAGGACGAAAACTTGTATTAAGATTTAAAAATTGCAGACCTGTCAGAGGAGATCAAGGCAGCAATTTCAAAAGGAATATTCCAAGAGAGCATCGTGGATTTTGCACTAATATCAAAGGACACTAAACCCAGTCAATTATTCAAGGCTGTCTTACGTTAGAGCCTTTCACAGACTCACGGCGTTGAGTCTCAAACTACGACTGAATGCACCCTCCAATGTACTCAAAAGAATGGGTAAGTTCCTGCGTTTCTCTGTTCCTTGTATAATGAATGACAGCTCTGCTTTAAAGGAGCAGTTAAGATGCTAAAGCTGATTGCTCTGCACTGAACCTTATGAAAAAAATGTTTTCCGATAGTGCCACTGTAACCCTCCGTAATCGAGATAAAGTCTCCTCCTAAGTGTAATAATGTCCAAGTATTCGGTTTGTTGTAGTAAGTTGTTTCTTGCATTTAGAATTAGCTTGTTGGAAATGCATGGCAATGTTATCTGCAGTGAAATCTTCCACTGTGATATTCCAAGTGTACTGATAAGGCTATCCTATCTTGTTGTTTTCCTAAATTATATTCTGCAGGCTTACATTTCAAGTGGCCATTAGGGGCTCGTATGCTGGCAGCACTATATGCAATGAGTATGGTTTTAAAAATGCTGCCTGCCTTGGGCATGGCTTGTCCACCAAAATGTCGCTGTGAGAAGCTGCTCTTTTACTGTGACTCTCAGGGGTTTCACTCAGTGCCAAACACCACTGAAAAGGGCTCGCTAGGTTTGTCACTGAGGCACAATTATATTTCTGAACTTGAAAGGGATCAATTTGCAAGCTTCAGTCAACTTACTTGGCTTCACTTAGATCATAATCAAATTGCAACAGTCAGAGAAGATTCTTTTCAAGGACTGTATAAACTTAAGGAATTAGTCTTAAGTTCCAACAAAATCTTTCATTTGCCAAACACAACTTTTAGCCAGCTGCTTAACCTGCAGAATTTGGACCTCTCTTTTAATCAGTTATCCTCTCTGCACCCCGAGCTCTTCTACGGCCTTCGCAAGCTACAGACCTTGCACTTGCGATCCAACTCCCTGCGGACCATCCCGGTCCGCCTGTTCTGGGACTGTCGTAGCCTGGAATTCCTGGATTTGAGCACAAACCGCTTACGAAGTTTGGCTCGCAATGGATTTGCGGGATTAATCAAGCTGAGGGAGCTGCACCTAGAGCACAACCAGCTGACAAAGATTAATTTTGCTCACTTCCTCCGGCTGAGCAGCCTGCACACACTCTTCTTGCAGTGGAACAAAATTAGCAACTTGACATGTGGGATGGAGTGGACCTGGGGCACCTTAGCAAAGCTCGATTTGACTGGAAACGAAATCAAAGCCATCGACCTCACCGTCTTTGAAACTATGCCTAACCTTAAAACCCTCCTCATGGATAACAACAAGCTCACCACTCTGGATTCCAAGATCCTGAGCTCGCTGAAATCCCTCACCACCGTGGGCCTCTCTGGCAATCTGTGGGAATGCAGCCCAAAGATCTGCTCCTTGGCCACATGGTTGAGTGGCTTCCAAGGTCGGTGGGAGCACTCCATCCTCTGCCACAGCCCCGACCACACCCAGGGAGAGGATATTCTGGATGCAGTATATGGTTTTCAGCTTTGCTGGAATTTATCGACTGTGGTTACCCCCGTGGCTACGACGTCGTACACAGCTCCAACTACCGAGTACACGAAAAGAATAAGCTCTTCTCATTTCCATGTGGGAGACAAAGAGATTCCAACTACAGCAGGCATGGTCGTTACCACCGAAGAACAGTTCCCTGAGCCAAACAATGCCATCTTCACTCAGAGGGTAATTACAGGAACAATGGCTTTATTGTTTTCTTTCTTTTTTATCATTTTTATAGTGTTCATCTCCAGGAAGTGCTGCCCTCCCACACTAAGAAGAATTAGGCAGTGCTCAATGATTCAAAACCACAGGCAGCTCCGATCCCAAACGCGGCTGCATATGGCCAATATGTCAGACCAAGGACCCTATAACGAGTACGAACCCACCCACGAAGGACCCTTCATCATCATCAATGGCTACGGACAGTGCAAGTGCCAGCAGCTGCCCTATAAAGAATGTGAAGTATAATACCTACAGCCCATCACAAAGTAAATCAGATAAGTAACCTACTTGAAAATTGTAGGGACCTACATCAGATTCTAATTTTTACAAATGTTGACATAAAGCCTAATTTTCCAAGCTACTTAATGGAAACATTGTTTATGGAGCGGTGCAGTATTTTTAAGTTTTTTAAAAAATAAATCCATAATATTTTCAGTGTTAAAGAAGCAATGATTACATTCAACTTGCACTCCTAATGTTTAAAAGTCTAAAGAGATGCTCACCTCAAACGATGTAAAATGTTTCATGTTATGTAATTATATGACTGTGTGTAAACATTTATACCCGAGTGTCCATATTCTACTTTTTCTACTGCAATCAGTCTTAGGGGAAGGAGACTGGATATCTGTGCAGGGATCTGTGGGGGACGTGTGCTCCATTTGTTCCACTGCAGCTGGAGGATCCCAAACGCTGCAGCTGGCTCCGGGCACTTTAAGGGCAGCCCGGGAGGAAGATTATCCTCCTCTGAGCATTTCACTCCAGTAAGGGAAGGGAGGGAAAACAAAAGGAAAAAAAAAAATAAAGAGGAACAAAGGTCCAGGTGGGAATTTCAGTGCACTGGGGTGAATTTATCTGAAATACGGTTTTGCTCTGTGAATATTCATGGTGTTCATGGCTCAGCTTGCTGAAAGGGACGGCAGGCACAGAAAGGAGCAGTTCACACAGCACACACAGGGACACACAGCCCCAGACAGGATGTGCACACACACAGGGCCACACAGCCCTGGGCAGAACGGGCACACACACACACACACTCAGGAGCAGAATGGGCACACAGCCCCAGCAGGATGGGTGCATACACACACACAGAGTTCCAGGCAGGACAGGCAGACACACACTCCCAAGCAGGATGGGTACACCTCCAGGAACAGGATGGGCACAAACACAGCCCCAGGCAGGATGGGGACACACACACACAGAGCCCCAGGCAGGATGGGCACACACACAGGAACAGGATGGGCACACACCCCCCCAGGAGCAGGACAGCCCTCTCTGTGTCCCCAGATTGGCACTGCAGCTTCTTTAGAGAGGCTCAGCACGCTGAGATCGATTGAAAATATTAAGTACATTCAGTCCTCGACTCCCTGGTTTCACTTGATGATACTTTTCATGAATTCAGGCTAATTACTTAATGATGATGAACAAACAGCATTTCAGCACCTTTTCATGTGTAAATACCCTTAATGCAAGGTTCTCTTAATTAAAAGCAAATATCAACAGCAAGGTTAAGGAGAAGAGGGAAGGAAGAAAGGAAGGAAGGAAGAAGCCTCTCTTTGTCCCCCTGGTGCCCCCCCAGCTGAGGCTTCCTCTGGCTGGGAAGCTATTTTCATGCACTAACTCCACTGGTTTCTCTGGAGACAGAATTAGCCCCTGTAATATAAGCTCTCACTTGTCCTCCTCTTCTAAAATTCAAGATAAAAAAAGACCCCTTCTGATAAGTTAGGAGAATATGATTAGTTTATAGAATAGTTCACTGAAAAATGTTTTATTTCTTACTCAATATGGGACAGAATCTAAACTAGTATGACTTTTTAAAAAATCATATATAAATATATATACACACACACACCTCATTCTAAGAGGCAATTTGATTTCTTTAGCCAGAAGTACCATATTGCTATTTATACTCTATTATGGAATTATATGTAAATATTTGCAGATCTATGCAGTGATGGTGGTACTCAGATGCCACGAGGGTGGGGGGGTGGGGGGTCTGCAAAGGATTACATTATTTTTAAGTCAACTGCTCAAATATTGTACACATTCTAACCAAAGCTAAAAGATTCAGAGGGATGGAGAATTATTTTATATATATATACATGTATGTATAACTAAAAAATGTGTTGTGTCCAATGCTGCAGTGTTAAACAATTACCAGCACACCCTGATGAAGAAACAAAATTCCTCACAGTGTTGCCATACTTTGACCAAATCCATAATTACAGTATGCTAATTGTGATGTACTAAACTATCCTGCAAACTTTTTAAACAGAAAAACCACTGCACAAAAATCTGTTTGCTATTTCACTCTGCTTTTCTCTCTGTATTACCACTTAGTGAGGTATTTAGGGTGCAATTATACAACAGTTTGATGCTTTCTTGTGAGATGAACATGTCCAAGGCAATTATAGCAAGATACGTAGCTTCTCTTAAGATTTTACATAAAGGTTTTTCAATTGCTGATTTTGAAGAACTAATTTGCATCATTTTACTTTTACGTACAGTGCCCTAAACATAAAGCCAATATTTTGTTTACTTCCCTTGACTTTGTACTTAATGGAAGAGATGATCCAGTGAAGCCTAATGGATTTCCATAGAGATATCTTTGAACTCTTGTAACTGTTAATACTAAGATGAGTCCATTTACACCTGTTCTGGGAAATTAATTACTGCTTTTAACTGACTACAAAAAATCCTGCAGGGTGGGTAGACAAAGAGCAGATATTCTGGATGATTAAATCCCACATGAGGCAGAAGGGCAGAGCTAAACTGAGAAACACAAACCCATCTTGGTCCCCAGGGGTATTTAGGTGACTGTAGGAAGATTTGCTTTGCTCCTTCCCATAACTAAGTGCTCACAGCTCTCCTGAGGCCCAGGATGCTGCTCTAGGAGCAGGTGAGCAGTGAGTGGGCATCCCTGTCCCTCCCCCTGCACTGGCTGGCACAGGCCAGCTGGGGAGGAGGCACTTGGGGATGACTTCCACCTACAGCTGCAGGGTACCAGCACAAAGTTATCACCGAGCTTGTTAATTATCCTGGCAACCAAATAACCTGGCTGAGCTGCCATCCCCAATCAGATGTCAGCACTGAACCCTGACAGCCTCAGCTGTGTTTGCAGGAAGCAATCCCAGACACCCTGGCTGTCAGACAGTTCAAGGGGTACCACCTCAGTCTTCCACACAGGAAAGAGAAGAAGCTGCTTGAGGAGGAGCTGAGGTTCCTCCAGGAGCTGCTTTCCTAACAGCCCAGCTCTGTACTACTCCATCTCTGTGAGCTTTTAATTCCACCCAAGAAGAGCAAAGACAGATGCTCCAGCAATGCTGCATTCAACCCTCTTCCCCATCCCTGCCACTCACAGTGATTTTTCCAAGCATTGAAGCACCATTCCAGTGCCCCTCCAGGCAAACCCACCCAGGCACCCAAGGTTCCACTGGTCCCGAGGTGCTTGGCTTGCAGACAGCAGAGCAGGAGGCGAGCAGGGAAGCCCAGCACCGTCCCGTTCCCTCTCCATACTTCACACTAATCCACAGCCAGTCTCCCAAATGCTGTGCTTTACGTCTGCTATTTCCAAACCCATTTGTTGCCAGGTTCCAGGCATAAGCAAAGCAATTCAGCAAACATTACATTTAGGGTAACAGGTATCATAAAACTCGCAGAATGCCAAGCAGCAGCAGTGAAGTCAATGTGAATTCCCTGCGGAGGGACAGCGAGCACCAGGCAGAGCCATTCTCTGCACAAGGACACAGCCACAGGCTGTTCATATTTTTTATTTTAAAGTTACTGTCTTCCATTTGCAATTGCTTGTGACTCTTCCAGGCAAGGAGGGGATTGAAATAATTGTGCTACTCAGCAGTCCCCGATTTATTTTGTTGATAGAACAAGAACCACGATGATTTGGTTTAAATTAATTGTATTTCAGTACAAGCACTGGCTGATGACAGGAGCTTGTTAACCTGCCCTCCCCAAACAGCATCTCTGCTGCACAGCCTCGGTTTGTACAGATTCTACACTGCTTACAGGTGCTTCAACACCTCCAGGCACAACCTTAGAGGTCTTTGGGTCTTTTAGAAACAGAATTTCTTGCACTGCCCTTGAAGTTCTTGGACTATCCAAAGATCTCCTCCATCCTTGCTGATATCCAGGCAGCTTCCCCTGCTCCTCACCCTTGCTTCAGTGAAATGAAAACCCAGCAGCACAAGTTCAGCTTTTGAGTCATTCTCCTGGAACAGGCTGAATTAATGCTCCCAGTTAGTCTCCCTGCATTAGATCAGTGTTTAAATGCACACAAGTAAAAATGACTCGATGAAGGGTGAAATGGGTGAGTGTTCAGTCTCCAGCTGAAGTGCTCCTCTGCACTGAGCTCCCTTTCCTTATCAGAACAAAACATAATGAATGCTGCTCCATCAGTGTTTGGTTTTGTTTGTTTCTCCCCCAAGCAGAAATGATCCGATTTTTCAGTGATCAGCCACATGCAAATCTGAGCTTCTGTCCCATTACCCCCTTACAAGACAGGAGCCTATTGCTACCCTGTAAAATCAGAAACATCCCGTGGCTTTAAACCAGAAACCTGCACTACGCATTTATTTTTAATGTGTCTAAGATTATTTCCATTAAAGTAATGCAGAAATTAAGTTGATTTAATTTTGTGATCGGTGTAGCTATCAAAATCCATCTGTTCAGACCTATGAAACTTACCCAGGAGCTGATTTTCATCTTTCTTATGAAGTTTTCCATAAAAATTAAAAAAGTTCAGAGGGGGATACAGTATTTCTCCTCCCGCCCAAAAGGAATAAGCAAGGAGACAACAGAAACCAAAGGCAGCAGCTCCTCCCTCCCCACACCTTCCTCCACTGCAAATGTCCCAGATGCTAAAATTGGTGCTGGGCTTTGCTTTTTAAGGCACCACGTTAGCAGGATGCTTAGAGATAATTTCAGAATCAGCTGGAAATTCAGCATTTCGCATCTTGTGTAAAAATCTTCTGAGAGGCATCTAGGGAAAGGCACCAGAAGCTTTGAGGGGTATAGTCAGGCCTCAGATGGGGTGAAACAGCGTTGTACACCCCTGTGTAAGCACCAGGAAGGTACACCTGCCATCTCCCAACTACTCCTTTGTAAAAAGCCAAACAAAACTCACCCCATTTTATTTTTTACTAATGAAAACACTAGTAAGTGAACTATTCTACCAGCTTAGCAACCCATGATTACAGAGAGTCCTAGATGCATTGTGTTTAAATTACGTTTCAAGAGCCAAGTTCTGGTGGGAGGGGGCGTAAGTAATGGAGTAAAACAAGTGCAGTGTACAGAAGCATTTTGTTATTAAAATTGTGTATACTGTAAAACTGAATTTGCCTCTTTCTTCCTCCCTTTTCAAGCAGAGGTGCCAAAAGCTCGCTCTTTCATGGTATATTAAAAGCAGTCTGCACCCACTGTCCCAAGCAGAAGAGTCAGGTTTGGGCCATTTGCCAGTCACAGCAAATCCAGCCCCTTCTGTTGTACCACACTGAGCAAAACACAACCTTCTGCTGTACCACAGTGAGCAGGGCAGCAGGGGCTCCTCCCAAACCAGGTGTCTCCTGACTAACAAAACCTGAATGAAAACCAAGCCAAAGCCAAACTCCTGGCCCTTGAGTAGCTGGATCAGGATCAGCACAGGCCTGGCCCAGCCTGGCTTTGCCCCTGGGTGTTTCCTGGCTCCTCAGGTACCCCCAGGGCCCACCTGTGGGTCACTGTGCCAGCCAGGACCTGGCATTTCCAAGGGGAACGCCCTGCCAACAGTGTGGCAAGGACAAACAGCTCAGAAGGTTCAGAGGTGTCACACAGTGAGACATCCCATCAGTTCTGAGTCACAGCCCTCCAGGAAGGGTCCCAAAAACATTCCTGGTACAAGAAGTACTTTTTTTTTCTTTACATGAGCTACCACAGCCAGCACAGCATTCAGAGCCACTGTGCCTCAATATCATGGGAAAGATTTCTGGGTTTGAGAAGGGGCAAGTTCACAGACACAGCCCAAAAGCCATGAGAGAGAACTGAACAAAAGAACGAGTTTCAGGATGTTCCAAGATGATTACATGCACTGAACTGCCAGCTAAAATCATTTTAGTAACTAAGCCGTAGCTGCATTTACTTTTTTATCAAAAGGTTTGGCTGGAAAAAGCTCTCAAGGGTTTTAAATGTCAGCTGGCAAACTGCCTCTCAAATCCTTCTAATACTTCAAAGCAGCACACGATATATCTATTTTCTTAAACTCTCAGAGACTAATTTTACAAGCAAAAGCATCTCTCAATTACAAATCCAGTTGTTCTCGCAAGCAAAGGTAACACACCTCAGAGAAAAACCAGTATTCTGAATACATTATGCAAAACCTTTAAATCCAATTAGGAACAAGGAAATGTCAACATCACTAGTGACTTACTTTTAAATGTAGACCCTATTAAGACAACTGCAAAAAAATTGAGATTCAAGAATTTGACTGGAGAGGATTGCACAAATGAACTGAAAACTGCAGCACTGGGAAACCCTGGCTCCCTCCTGCAGTGAATGTCCAGGCCAAGGGACAGGATTCAGTGAGAGTGCTCACCCACCACAAAACCCTGATGTCAGTATTTTCTGTAATCTGTTCTTACGGAAAAGCATTACAAAATCATTGTTACCTAATCAACAATTTCATTACCACAAAGATTTTAGGAAATTTTATTATAATGAGGTAAAACTCTATTTGCCATATTTGACATAGGATTCACGTGCTTTGGGTCTTATTTTGGGAGAAATTTTTTTGCAGTGAGGGTGGTGAAACCATACAATAGGTTACCCAGAGAGGTGGTGGATGCCCCTTCCCTGAAAACATTGCAGGCCAAGTTGGACAGGGCTGTGGGTGACCTGATCTGCTTGAAGCTGTTCCTACTTATTGTAGGGGGCTGGACTAGGGTTATTTTAAAGGTCCCTTCCTACCCAAACCATTCTATGATTCTATGAAACAAAACAAACAAAAAAACCCCAAAAACAAACAAACAAACAAAAAGACAAGTGTCTCATTAGCACAATCCTGTGTTTGTTTCTGTGATGCACAACTCCAGAGGTTTGGCTGCAAGGGCACCGAGCAAACCCTTCTGGGCTGACAGGTAACCAAACCTTGATTTCAGCTCTTCAGCTGGTTGTAATCCACAAGGTCTTTAATTTGACTTTTGCTTCTAAGTTTTCTAAAAGGACAAAAGTTAAACACACACAAAAATCATTTAAGCATAAAAGCCAGGAGCAAGAAGCTGAACCACAACCAGAGGGGAACATCCCTTGAGTTAAACTAAACTTCTTCTCCCCAGTTTGTAACACAAACACTTGCAGTATGCACACACAAGCAAAATGAAAGGGTGTTATGTTTAAATGAAGTAATCATTCTTTTATAAAACCAAGATATTTCTTTTAAATGCCATGGAAGTTACTTCCCTGTTATCCCCAGCAGACTCTACTCCTTGTACACTGAATATTCAAGCAAACTGGACACAGAGGAGATGCTGCTTTTCCTTCCACCCCTCCCTACCCCACAGCGTGGGCAGTGCAGCACTGTTTGACAGAGGTGCATCACGCTTTGTACCAGTTAAAAAAAACCAGCCATATTTCATGAGAAGTCTTGGAGTAAGTGGAAAAGCTTCATCCATCAAGAAGCTTCTTAAATAATGAATGAGTCATAATTCTTTACATTCAAAAGCAATTAATTTTCTGTATTGTAATCAGGAGAATAAATCTGATAAATCCATTCTAATGGCTCTGAACCTGAAGGTAGTGTTGCAGTTGAATTTTTAATTTTAAAATACAGGAGCAGTGAGGACTTCTGCTGTTTAAACATACAATCAGAACAGCTTTACTGCATATTTAATAGGTAAAATGGGCTTTGTGAGACCACATGAGATTAAAGACAGCTTTAGATACAGCAAATAATTTCAAGCAGAAAGGTCCTTCCAAGATACCTCTTAACTGTTTGGCCACTGAAGTACTTGAAATATCCTTTATGAAGTGTACAAAATAGAAAATCTTGCTGCAAGAAGTAGTTTTACTTATATGTTTGCAAAGAGCTAAAAATATTGAGTAACATGTTAATGTGGAATCCAGCTCAACCGTACAGCAACTGTTCCTATTAGTGGGAAAAGAGCAAATGCTTCCTAACTCCTAAATAATCCATCACATATCCAGAACCTCTGCCTCAAAAGCCATGTGCTGTTAGCTAGGACTATCAATTTCTGCCTTCAAATGGATTGCTTCAGCCCTAACACCACTTTAAGTTTGAATTCTTTTGGAGAAAAAAAACCTGTCAAATTAATAGAGCTCTTAGTAAAGCTAATAACAACACAGTCTGCTAAGGAGTGAGAACATTGGAAAGGGACAGGGACATAAATGCTACAAGGGCAGTTCCATCACCACACAGCACTTAACTGGGGGAAAAACACACTCCCTGCACTGCAGCCGCTCTCAGCAGCTTTGCTAACAACCTCTGCTTTAAGGAAGGCAAATTTCAGCTGTCCAAGCAGTCCAGCTGCTCCAGAGGGAGGTCGTGCACTCAATATCCTCAGCACACACCTATCAGAGGATGTGAGCCAGGAACAAAGCCTCAGGTTGGGAAAACCACCCAGCAGGGCCATGCTGCAAGCCCCCAGGTCTAAGCACACACCTCTGACTTAAAGAGCAGGAGATATTGAAGCACCATCTCTGCTGTCCTCAGGAGAAGACAACATGCTCTAGTAAAGACCTGGAACTACTTACTGATCCTGTTCAGCCCTGAAGCACAACATCCCCACACAAACAGCAACAGCTGCTTGAAATTCTGGCTGATTACTTGAGAGGTTAAAGAACTCCTCCTCAAGTTTTCCAGATAGTCATGAAGATGGAAATAGCTGGAAATACGGACAAACACTGAGCTCAGCACCCAGGGGAGCAGCAGGCCTCTGCAAGGCTGACCAGAGCACAGGCAGCCAAGCTGGGGAGCTCCTAATGACAGCTGGAAGCTCTCTGGGGAGCAAGGGTGTATCTGCAGGGTCCAGGCCTTCAAGAATTCCACAGCCACAGGGCAGGTAGGCAAAGAAAGCCATCTCGAGTTTATATTCTTGTCTGTGGATAACCAGCTTAGCTCTGGGATGCCCATCAGCACCATAGCAGCTGCAGTGCTTGGAAGTGAGGAAGCTGTGTCTTCCGATGCCTTCCACCTGCAGTTAGCATCCAGAAACTTCCAAAAAGGCTAAGGTTAGACATCTGATTGGGATGAACCACAAAAAAACCCAAAACCAACCAAACCCAAAGTGAAGCCAAAACAAACAAACCAACCCAGTGAGCCTTGGCAGGTACTGCATCTTTAACATGACACTACACTCAGAACAAAAAATGAGATATTTCTGACAAGTTCCTAGAGTCTTTGGTGACTTCTAGGAGATGCCTGTTCACCCTCTACTGAACTTGCAGGAGTTGTCTGTTCACCTTTGTCCTGGCTTTGCCAAACCAGGACAGACATTTACTGACCCCAAGAAGTATCAGCCTCAGTGGCTCAGCGTGCAATGAGCTCTTGCCCGGTATTCCTCCCTGCCAGGGAGAGCAGAGCAAGTCTCTAGACCAGCAACAATTTCACCCACAGTGAAACCCAGCAAACACCCACAGAGCTCACTCTGTAACAACACAGCAGCATCAGGACTAAGGAATTCCAGCTTTTTACAGACATTCAAAATACCCTCAGTGCTGGGAACTGCTGAACAAACTGCAGTGCCTCTTCCACACCGAGTTTTGAATTAGTCAGCATAAATAAATATTTGTAAATATTTGTTGAGCAATTTGAAACTCGGATAAAACCTCTGCTTTGTTCCACACCCCAGAGGTGTTTCTGGAATGAATTCCAAGCCCTTGCCCCCCTGCTGCAGAGCTGTCCCTTGCCAGCAGAGCCCAGGCCAGCGAGCAGCAGGTTCCTGAGCACACAGCACTGGCACAGCAGTGGGATCATTGCTGGAGCTGTGTGATATGAGTGCTCCACACCTTCCCCAGCCCCTCCTGTGTGACAGCACACCCTCAAACACAGGGACAAATGGAAACATAGACCAAGAGGAGGCAGACTCCAGTGCACCCAGCAGATAAATCCCAGGGATATTGTCCCTTCATACCTAGAGCTGTCTATGGACAACAATTAACTTGACAAAGGGTGCCAGGAGAGTATCCAGAGACACATGAAAAAGGTTTATGCCACATTCAAATGAGCTGATGCCACCCAGCTGCAGACTGCTTCTTTCTTCTTAGTGGGCACTCCATCATTTGAATATGCCCCAATAAAGCTGCATCATCAAGAGAGGAACTTTCTGACACCTACTTTTAC